AGGTTAACCCTTGGGAGCATATTGTGATTAGGTTAACCCTTGGGAGCATATTGTGATTATAGTAGGAATTCTTGTGCCTCAAGAAGGTTAGAGGGTTTCAAAGGATTACGGTTTAGGGTTTCAGGGGCTCAGGGTTTAGGATTTCAGGGGTTTAGGGTTTGGGGTTCCGGGGTTTATGGCTGCAGGGGTTTAGGGTTTGGGGTTAAGGGGTTTAGGGTTTAGCACGTCAGGGGTTTAGGGTTTGGGGTTTCAGGCTTCAGGGGGTCAGGGTTTGAGGCCTCAGGGGTTTAGGGTTTGGGGGTTCAGGGGTGGGTTCAGGGGTTTATGCTTAGGGCTTCAGGGGTTTAGGGTTTGGGGTTTCAGGGTTTACGGCTGTTGGTTTTAGGAACTAGGTGATTGGGGTATTCGGGTTTATGGTTTTCGTGTCCAGGAATACATGGCTAAGCATCCCAGCAAGCAGAAACCTAGACCCCCAAACCTAAACCTTAAACATGATCCTTACACAACCCTTCAGAGCCAAATCCAAACCCCTTAACCGAAACAACCCCAAGCATTGACCTACTACTTAGTGACTTAGTAATCCCTGAACCCTAAACCCCTCAGCCTCAATAAACAAAAACACACATGCCGCGTGGAGCTCGCGAAGTTACACCCTAAACCCCAAACCCACAACCCTAAACCGTTAGCAGGCCTCCTTGGAGGCGGGGAGAAAGGCTCCACCACCGGAGTGGCTTCGGGAACCTGCTCTCTAAACCCAAAACGCCTAAACCCCAACAGAATACCTCAACTCCTACCTACGAGGGTTTTGGTAAAACGCCTACATCCAAAAACACGACCTAAACTCCTACATACGAGGGTTTTTTAACACCCTGAACCCTAAAATAATACCTAAACTCCTACATACGAGGGTATTTTTAACACCCGGAACCCTAAAATAATACCTAAACTCCTACATACGAGGGTATTCTTGAACGCGTAAACCAAGAACCCTGAAATAATACCTAAACTCCTACATACGAGGGTTTTGGTAAAACGCCTAAGTCCTAAAACACGACCTAAACTCGTACATACGAGGGTTTTTTAACACCCTGAACCCTAAAATAATACCTAAACTCCTACACACGAGGGTCTTTTAAACCCCTAAGCCCTAAAATAATACCTAAACTCAAACATACGAGGGTTATGTAAAAACCCTAAACCCTAAAACAATACCTAAACCCCTACATACGAGGGATTTGGTAAAACGCCTAAACCCTAAAACAATGCCTAAACTCCTACATACGAGGGTTTTGTAAAACCCCTAAACCCTAACAAACATACCTAAACTCCGACAACCCTAAACCCTAAACCCTAAACCCTAAATTAGGGTTCAGGGTTCAGGGGCTCTTTGAAGGGAAGCTCTTGGGTTTTCGGGGCTTTAGGGGAAGTTTCTGGGGCTGAGGGGTTTAAATCAGAGCTACCTATACTATTTTGGGGGTTCCTTATTAGGGTTTAGGGTTTAGGGTTTAGGGTTTAGGGTTATTATTATAACTATAGTACAATATACCCCAAAACCCTAGTCCAATTAATAAGGCTTCCACATTATCGACTATTGAAATGGGGATACTGGGGAGACTACTACCGGTTTTTGCCGACCTCGACAGTACACACTGACAAGTGGTGATCATCGCAGCACTGAGACCGGGCTCGACTGTGCCCTGAGCCCGCATCTGGACCCTAAGCGGCCTAGCATTTCCCCAACTCTGTGAGCCCCTACATGCCCCAGCCCCCTCGAACACTCCGAACAAAACCACGTTTGCCCCTTCGCAGAGGCCTCCACAAAGGCCACGGGCCCATCTCGCCGACCTCAGGACCGAGACATAATTTGTCCTATCTCGCCTTTCGGCTTTTTAGATCCAAGGCTCCAGGGTTTCAGGGCTTTGAAAGTGCTTTGAAGGTTCAGAACCTTGGGATCGGGGGTTTAGGACCCAAGCCGCGGGGCCTCAGCATTGCCCGGACTTCTTACAGTTCAGGGTGCAGGGCTTCAGATTACACACACTTGCGAGCACGAACACGGAAAGTTGCGTATATGTAGACATCCATCCATCCACATCTATCTATCGATCGATCGATCGATCGATCTATCTATCTATCTATCTATCTATCTATCTATCGATATCTATCTATATATGTCTATGCACAAATGTGTATATATATATATATATAAACATCAGATTCATATTCATGCACATATACCGTGTACATACACATATAACATACAAATACATGCATATACATACACATATACCTACACATACATACATACATACATACATACATACATACATACATCGTAGTTACAGTACCGCAGTACCGAGAGAGAGAGAGAGAGAGACAGAGAGAGCGAGCATTTAAAATCCAAACGTGGGTTCTAGGGATTTTGTTTCAAAGTCTCCGCCACAAAGAGCCAAGACGTCTGCAGTCCGCAGCACAGGCCTCGCTGAACCCTGCTGCATTCATCAAGGTGCCAATCAACCCTAAACCCCTGCAGCCCCTAAACCCCCATAAACCCGAAACCCCTAAACCCCTATAAACCCTAAACCCCTAACCCCTAACCCCTAAACCCTAAACCCTAAAGCCAAGCGGCCGAATCTGCCAGAGGGGCGTATCGGCACCGAAGATGCCCTTGACTGGCGTCCAACCTCCTGCGAATTCGGACATGAGACGTGCCCTGCACCACGCGTCTACATGTGTTGCTCTATAGCAGGCCTGGAGCATCGTTTTGCAATGCTGGCACATTCCCGCTGTGTTCAAAAAGCCTGCTACGTCATCCGCTTTGGTTGCGGCAGGCACAAACGAGTTGCGGCGGGAAGAGCGCCCAAATCCAGACCTCGCAGATTGCGAGTGTTGGCGGTAAGGCCGCATTTTCTGCCTGTACCGCATGGCTTCACCATCGGCACCGACAGCATTAACAACTTTGGCTGCTTGCAGCTAGAGTGCAGCTCTGCTAAAGTTCCACACTAAACGGCATGCACTCAACGTGAGTGTGGCCGCCTAGCTCGAATCATGCGCGTGGATGGCGAGAGCTCGCTTCCTCGCAGCCTCGTAGAGGAGCGTCTCCTGCGCTGCCAACTCCTGGATCACGGCCACGTGCGTGCCTGGGATCTGGCAGTCCTTCGGGTAGGAGTTCGTGTTCATCTTCTC